CTTGAAATGCAAATTAAAGTTGAACATGTGTGTAGGCTTTGAAATAAATGTATGTATAAGAGAATGTAGGAGTTAAATGGTTAAAGAACTCCTTGGTTGTGAAAAAGCCACTTTGAGGCTTATGTGCTTAAATTGTGGAACCTTGGAAAATCATGAATATGTTAATAAATCTTGGATTAAAGGTGTATGAACCTTCGCTTTGGTAAAAAAAAATATAGCTCTTTTGTATGGCCTTAAAATGAGTTTTGGCCATTTTCAAATGAGGTATATATTCAGAGATATTATTTCGAAGAGTGAGAACACTTTTATGCGTAAAATAATTTATATAGGTGTCTAAGCTTGGGCTTAGGCACTAGACAAATTGAAATATTATAGTTCCTTTGTAATGGGCACTCTGTCTTAATTGAGAAAAATAGGCTTTAAGGTGCTAAGAGGAGTAATTAGTGTTCTGAAGGCCTTTTGGGACTATCCTAAGACTAGGTAAATATGTGAAATTATGTGGGAATTTTTTGAACAAAGAACGACCTACCCATGGTCTAATATGATTAAGTTAAAAGAAAATCGGTTATGACTTGTATAAATGACATAGTATTGGCATAAGAATTTATGAGAAAAAGAAAGTAAACAATAAAGTGTGTATTTTGTATATTTACACGTCATTATATCATTTTATTGAGTTTTTTGTTGAATTATTTCTCTAGATATGCCTAGGGATTTCGAACATTTAGATTCTTTTGGAGCAAGATAAGTGACTTGTGCAACAAGAAAAAATATTGTAAAAGCTCAAAAAGGTAAGCTCTATGTTTAATGAGTCTTTTCCTACTTGTGTACTTCACCATTGTTAGTGGACTATGGTTGGATTGTATGATTGTATTTGATATTTTGTATAGATGCATTCATATAGAGCTATATGATAATATGATATGTTTTGTTCTGATGTGATTTCTGTAATGATCTTTTGCCATTGATTCTATGTGCATTGATGTCTGCTTGGGGTCCTCCCTTGGTACTGACTGTGTATACTGTATCGCACGACCGCTTCAAGAATCAATGATTATCCTCACATACTAACACGAGACTTTTCAGTGTGCTTTTTCCTCACTCGCACACTTCCTGGAAAAACTTCCCAAGAAGTCATTCATCCCCGAATTACTGCAAGTCAAGCCGCTTAACTATGGAGTTCTTCTGTTTCGGGCTATCAAAAAGTAGATGCATCTTGTTAGTATAGGTAGTACCAATTAATTCCTATAAGTTATCCCAAACTGTGCAGTCTCATATCTGCACAGTCTTTGGAATCCCTCTCTTTCGGGTGTCGATTCGATTCATTCATGTAACCCCCCACTGGAAGCCTGTTAGGAGTCGTTCCTTGTCCGTGTCTCTTTGCAACGGTGATCACTCTCTGCCCTCGTCAGCCACTGGGATGTTACATGCCCACCCGCTTCCGCCTGGTTCGTCCTCGAACCACACCGTATTGGGAGAGAGGCCTTGCTCTAATACCACTTGTAACGCCCAGCTGCTTCAAGAATCAATGACTATCCCTACATACTAACACGAGACTTTTCAGTGTGCTTTTTCTTCACTCACACACTTCCTGTGAAAACTTCCCAAGAGGTCACGCATCCCATAATTACTGCAAGTCTAGCACGCTTAATTATATAGTTCTTCCATTCCATGCTACATAAAAGTAGATACATCTTGTTAGTATAGGTAGTACCAATTAATTTCTATAAGCTATCTCAAACTGTGCAGTCTTATACCTACACAGTCTTTGGAATCCTTCTCTTTCGACATATATTTGTTGTTTATCAATACCCTTGAATTAACTCCTCAATTTGAATCTTGGTGTGAATATAATGGAAAAAAGACTCTAATATCTCTATAATTTAAAGCAATCTTGTGCTTCTTTAATATGTTACAGTTTGTCCGAGAAGTCTATATTAATTTGACTTTGATTACTGATAAATATGGTCATATTTATCTTTATAGAATACTGAATATTGTCAGCCATCCATTAGTTTTTCTTCCCTACCCTTGTGATGATACATGCAGCATACTCCTATAGTAACAGCACACTTATCTGGCAGAGCTTACGATCCTAATACCTATTTTTTTTAGTAGTGAAACTCAATCTATCATCCACTTCTAACATTATCAAATAGATAGTGTGCACAATGAGACTCGGTCACTATTAGTTAGGGTTATTATTTCGAGTCGGCAAGCCTATTCAGGTTATCTTGTTATAAGTTGTACCAAATAAGAGTTGCACTTATAATGAGTCAAGTATAATTCAAATTGGCAAATATTTTGTCCAACTTAATCGTTGGAGTGCATTTTCTTTATTTATTTACACAATTGAAGACCAAAAAACATTAATTTTAAGTTATCTGTTTGATTAACTTGTATTAAAAAAACTTAAAATAATTTGTAATAAAAAGTTTAAAACTAATTAATACTTAAACTAAAATGTGTTTAGGGCTGTAATAAAAAAAGTTCTTATACGAGTTATAAACCAAAAATCAATCAAGCCTAATCTCATTTTTTAAAGTATGATTAAGTTATTCATTATATTTTAAGGGAAATACAAGTGTTATGTAATAGGAAAAATATCCACTTTCCTACTGACTCAATATAGCGTGGGACCCACTTCAACTTTTTTTGCTTTTTTTTCTGTTCAATGGGGCCCACAGTGTTTTTGTGTCTGTAACATGACACAAATGGTGCCATGTTACATGACAAACGATTATCCCATATTTTAATGTATAAAAGAGATTTGATGAAAAAGCTTATACAATAAGGGAAAAAGGTGTGTCATTTTAAATAACACACCTTACATCCTTTCACTCTCACAAAGAGGTGGGATCCACGTCTTTAAAACTTTTTTCCCCCACTCTCTCTCCCCTGATTTATCTATTTCTCTCACTTAAAATGACACAACTTTTTATCTTTTAAAATGATACACAATTTCCCCATATAATAAAGTCTTTGCACTAATAATTGACAAAGTCAGCTTATAATATTAATATATCGAATACAGTGTACTAAACATGCCCTTAGGGCCTATTTGGTACATAGATTATTTTTGGATATCTAGAAAAGTGGGGATGGGAATTTAAGAACTTCATGTTTGGTAGCCCATTTTAAAACAAATTTCGGGATTTGCTTTTATGTGTATTTTCTAAATCAAATTACAATAAAAAAATACCACTTAGGGTGGTATTTTCACTTTCCCTATAAACCAGAAAATCAGATGCGAAAAATATAACAAAATTAACCCTTGGTATCATATTTTCGTGTACTTGCGTTATGAACAAATAATTGCTTTTCGAAAGACAGCGACTGAGAAAAACAACATGGGGGTGTTTGGTAAGTGATTTTTAAGGGGATAGATGGGTAAGTAAGGGTGGGGTTGGGAGAATGACGTGTTTGGTAGAAGAGTTTCAAAAATAAAACAAGGCATTGTCTTTCCCCATCAAAAGCTGAAATCTGTGTTAATTGGTCTCCAATTCACTGTTTTGGAAGACCACCTTCGAGCTGGTATCCGGAGAAAACTAAGGAAGTGATATTTTTGGCGCCAGCTTTGTTACGCAAATGCCCCTCTCCTCTAATACCCGTGGTCCGTATTGGCTAGCAAGAACTCAGTCAGATGGAAATATGGTAAGTGCTCTTCTCTCCTAAACAGACCCATAGGTCATGCATGTGGTTGTAGACAAAATGATCCTGACCTTCTCTATTTCTTTGCTTTTTGAAACCCCATAGTTGCATCCTTGAACTGAATGAGCGCATGCGGTGGGAGGTGAGGGAATGAACTTGTCAGCTTGCATCTTCTAAGTATGTATTCTTTTATCAATATTTCAGTGCATTTGGAGGAGTGACCTTGGTTTTCTTCATAAGGATGTTGTCTGTGAGTTAAAGCACAAATGGACTAGGTCACATTTTTTTTTTTGTGTTTATATAACATTGTTGTGTTAATTTATTTTGGTTTTCATTAACACCTTCACAGAAGGAGCTGTATTTCATTTATTCCCCACTTGCTAATGCCTTATATTTTCTGAAAGTTTATGATCAGACAGAAGGAACTGTATGCCATTATTTGGCATCTTGTACTTGAATGTGATAGCCAAGAGGTGCCCTATGTGTATGACACCATGCCCACAGGACCTGTAGCTCCTAAGGACCATGTTATTTTGGATGAGAATATGAAGGCACAACATCACCAATACATAAGAATTGATGTTTTAATGTTTAAATCATATCATTATTTTGACTAATTTTTTTGTGTTTCTTGTGTTCTATTTCCTTACTTCCACCCTGATTTGAAGGAATTCCAACTGTATTTCTGTTCAACATCACTTGTAGCATATACGAAAGACCAAGCAGGAGATGAAATATATAGTTTGGTTGTCAATGATGCTGAGACTCAATCTCGTATAGGAGAGCCTCTTGTTGGTGTAACATGAAACCTTGAATTGGAGCACAAGATGGTGCTCGTTTTTATATCCCAATGGATGAGACTCGCAGGTATAATGACCCTCACATTTTATTATGGATTTAATATGGAAGGATAATTATAAAGAAAAAAAATAAAGTCAACTTTGGTGAAAAATGAGTTAAAATGACAGTTAAGGAGTAAAAATGCGGGTAAATAAGGTTACTCGAAAGTAAAAAGTAAAATTATAAATATTACCATAAAAATATTTTGGACTAGTGTGCAAAGTTTGGTAGTGAATGGAGGGGCGTAGATAGATAAGTTGTTACCCAATTAAAGTAACTTAGCCTATTTAAAGTTAGAAACCGTGACACCCTCTTATTTATTCTTCCCCGAGCGCGTTGGCTTCTGTCTTCATTTTCCATTAAAATAGCTTAGGTTTTCCTTTTCTTTTCTCTTTGATTTCTCATCACACAATCATCCAAATGAAAAAGTCCATTACATGAAATCAATAGGAAATCATCCAATGAATCCATTCCACTCCTTATTTTGAGCTAAGATTGCTTGTGAATAGAGTTCTTCCTCATCCCCAATTCGTGGTACTATTCACTCAAATGAAAAAGTGTGGATTTTGAGTGAGCAAAGCTTGAGTTTTGTTCTTTGGACCTTGGATAAGCTATTTGAGGTAAGAAATTCTCATTCTAATGGTTTGATTTTCATGGGTTAAGTTTTGAATATTATGAGCATATTTTGTGTAGAATTTATGAAGTGAAAACTTGAAATTTATGAAGTATTGTGTGTTTTATGATGATATAGTATCAAGCAAGCATGATGATGAGTTGGAAAAAAATAAAATAAAATAAATAAATCCCCTTGGACCACCACACTAGGTTAGGCCATATTGGGCATTTAGGGGTTAATGTGCCAAAATAATTAAATTAAATAATTATGGAGGTTTACATGTATGTGTATGATGAGATTTAGGTATTAAAGTGAGAATACCAAGTGGACAATCCATTGGAAACCCTCCTTGTAAATCTCGGCCATTAGGGTCTAATTAGGGATGATTATGTTAAAAATTATTTGGATGATGTGGTCAGGTCCTAATGCATGGCTTTAGTATGATTTTGAAGTTAAATGGTTTAAGACATAATGAGAAACACCGTAGCTCCTTTGTATGGCCTTAAAATGAGTTTTGGCCATTTTCAAAGGAGATATATGTTCGGAGATATTGTTTCGCAAAGTGAGAACACTTATATGCGTAAAATAATTTATATAGGTGGCTAAACTTGGATTTAGGTACTAGATAAAGATAAATATTATAGCTCCTTTGTAATGGGCATTCTGCCTTAAATTGGGAAAAATAGGCTTTTAGGTGCTAAGAGGAGTAATGAGTATTCTAAAGGCCTTTTGGGACTATCCGAAGACTAAGTGAATATGTGGAATTTTGTGGGGATTTGTTGAACAAAGAACCATCCACTCATGGCCTAATATGATTAAGTAAAAGGAAAATAAACAATAAAGTGTGTGTCTTGTATACTTACATGGCATTAATCATTTTATTGAGTTTTGTGTTGAATTCTTTCTCTAGGTGTGCCTAGCGACTGTGAACGTTTGGACTCTCGGGGAGCAAGATAAGTAACTTGTGCGACAAGTAAGCGAATTAATAAAGTTTAAAGAGGTAAGCTCTATGTTTATGGGGTTCGCTCCTACTTTGTGTTCCGCCATAATGTACGGACTGTGGTCAGGTTGTATGATATGTATGAGATATATGATATAGATACATTCATATAGAGCTATATGATAATATGATATGTTTTGTTCTGATGTGTTTACTTTGATATGTGTTAATATGATATGTTTTGTTGAGTTTCGCTTGGGGTCCACCCTTGGGAACACGTACACTGATTTCCACTTGGGGTCCTCCCCTGGGATTGACTGTGTACACATTTGTTATATGACTTGTTCTGATATGATTTATGTATTGATCTTTGGACATGGATTGTATGGTACACTGATGTCTTCTTGGGTTCCCCTAAGATTGACGGTGTACGCCTCTGATATGTTCTGGTTCCGCTTGGGGTCCTCCCTTGGGAACACGTGCGTTGATTTCCGCTTGGGGTCCTCCCTTGGGAATGACTGCGTACGCCTCTGATAAGATTTGTATATATGTTTTGCTCAGTGAAGATATGTTTTGGTTAGGGTCATCCCTAGGGATTGACTGTGTACATATTTGATATGTTTTTGTTTCCGCTTGGGGTACTCCCTTGGGAACACGTACGTTGATTTCCGCTTGAGGTCATCTCTTGGGAATAACTGCGTACGTTTCTGATAAGATATGTGTATATGTTTTATTTAGTCATGATATTTGTTACGTACGTTGATTTTCGCTTGGGGTCATCCCTTGGGAACGATTGCGTACGTCTGTGATATAACACGTTTTGTTCTGATGTGAGTATTGTGATGATTTTTGTAAATGATATTTGTTACGTGCGTTGATTTCCACTTGGGGTCATCCCTTGGGAATGACTGCGTATGTCTTTGATAAGATATGTATATATGCTTTGTTCAATTATGATAATTGCTTATATGATGTTTTGTATATTATGTATCTGACTGTCATGCAGGAAGTGAGCCCAGGGTATGGAGAGTTTTCCATAAACCTGGAGTTTACTAGAGATTCGTCTCTAACCCCGTTTTGGGAAATGATTTCAGGAACACAGTTAATTGAAGAGCCTCATGGGACAAGGACGCTAACCGTGGCTAGAGGTACTAGTATGAGGATGTGAAATTCTGGGTGGCCGGAGGCTACTATTTGTTTTAGACGTATTTTTTGAAAAGATGTATTATTGCATAGTGTTCATATTCGATACATGTACATTTATGTATTCAGGCATGATGATATGACTATGTAGTATTCAGTTATGTTATGTATTGGATTGCATGCAATTAGATTAGTGGCACGGAGTCAGGTTCTGCATGCGCCCATAGATGGGTATCTGAGTATAATTGCATGACTGATACTTCTGGAGATATATATTGTTTAAACTGTCTATCAAGAACTCTTGAGAGTGGGATTGGAAAATCCCTAGTTGTCCGATTTACAGAGGTTACTCTGTCTGATTTTCGTTTACGTCTAATAAGAAAGAGAAAAAGTTAACTCGTATTTTCGTAAGTTAAATCTTCCGTTGTTTCTGTTTTTATCATATGTATGTTAATTGAACCGGCTCGAGACGGGGATGTTACAGCAGGCCTGACAAGCTAGATGGGGAGATTCATCATTTTGGATAGTATGACAGATACAAATTGTAACCGAAAGAAATTTGTTGGATCAAAGCCATTTTGTATATATTTTATGTTATGTACTTCATGAATGCTACAGCTGTTATGGAACGGTTCCTGTCATACTGTAAAGACTTTTTGTATCATTTGTTGAATGTGTACAGTTGTTGCTAGTAAAGATTGACCAAGTTGACTATCATTGTATTGATTCACTAATTTTATTCTATGTCTGTGTCCAATTTCATTTGCAGCACAAATTTGAATTCATGAATATTGCATAACCGAACTTTTATTGAACACAAACAATTGTCATTGGCATGCCTTTGTAGGGCTGTCAAAAATTTTGAATTAAAAACAACATCAAATTGAGTACATGAAACTCCTATTTACAAACTGCTAGTCTATGATCCATGTATTCAATTTACACAATATATGTTCATCAGGTGAAGCAACCTTCTGTTCCATAAAGTGAAGAATAATAACATTATAATATTACAAGAGCATAAGGTTGTGCCTCCCAATGACCATTACACTTGTTCCTGTGTTTCTTCCATGATCTCAACGAGCTTGGGTCAATGGTCTATAGAAAGAAGCTCCACCTTGAATGCCATTTTTCCACTGATCTATTTTTTGCACCTGGACTTTGGCTATAGACAAACACTTGAAAGAAAAGGGTATTTGAAATATTATTGAATTGTGTATAAATCTGATACAAAGAGGTCTCTATTTATAGAGACTAAAAAACCTAATTCTTGACCTAATGGGCTTGGCCCAATACAACAAATACTAATAATAATAAAAGACCTAATATTTACAACACTCCCCCTCAAGCTGAGGAATAGATATTTATCATTCTCAGCTTGCTAGTAAGTTCTTGAAATCTGTCTGAAGGAAGTCCCTTTGTCAATAGATCAGCTAATTGACGCCCAGTGGGAATGTATGGAGTGGTAATCAACCCGCTATCAAGTTTCTCTTTGATGAAATGGCGGTCGACCTCAATATGTTTAGTCCGATCATGTTGAACTGGATTATGAGCTATACAAATAGCGGACTTATTATCACATAGCAGTTTCATAGGTCCCTCACATTTTATTTTGAGATCATCAAGTACAATTTTCAGCCACAGTAACTCACAAATGCCTTGAGCCATAGCTCGAAATTCAGCTTCTGCACTTGATCTGGCAACCACATCTTGTTTCTTACTTCTCCATGTCACCAAGTTACCGCAAAGAAACATGCAATAACCAGTGGTAGAACGACGGTCAGTCACGGATCCAGCATAATCAGCATCAGTGTAGACTTCTAAAGAGAGATTACCATCACGTCAGAATAACAATCCTTTACCAGGAGTAGCTTTAAGATACTGAAGAATTCTCTCTACTGCCTGCATGTGTTTCTCTTTTGGATCATGCATAAACTGACTGACAACACTAACAACATAAGCTAGGTCCGGCCTAGTATGAGCCAGATATATCAATTTTCCAACTAGCCGTTGATATTGTCCTTTATCAACTGGAGGACTCTCCTCTTCAAAGCCTATCTTGTGATTCTGCTCAATAGGAGTATTAGAGGGTTTACACCCGAGCTTCTCTGCTTCTTTGAGAAGATCCAAAACATATTTCCTCTGACTGATAAAAATTCCTTTGCTTGAATGAGTTACTTCTATCCCTAGGAAATATCTCAGTTTCCCAAGGTCTTTGACTTCGAACTCAGAGGCAAGTCGTGTCTGCAGAATCTGTCTCTCCACAAAATCATCACCTGTGATAATAATATCATCAACATATACAAGGAGCACAGTAAGCTTCCCATTTTGGGAGTGCTTGAAGAAAAGAGTGTGATCTCCTTGACTCTGTCTATATCCTAAGGTCATCATAACGTTAGTAAACCTTCCAAACCAAACACGAGGTGACTATTTCAATCCATACAAGGCCTTTTTTAATCGACAAACTTTATTTTCCCCCTTCACAGAATCAAAACCAGGCGGGATTTCCATGTATACTTCTTCTTCTAACTCACCATTGAGGAAAACATTTTTCACATCAAATTGATTTATATCCCAATTGTAATGGGCAGCAAGGGACAACAAAATTCTCACTGTATTCATCTTTGCAACTGGAGCAAAGGTTTCTTCATAATCAATGCCATAGGTTTGAGTGTAACCTTTGGCGACTAATCGAGCCTTGTATCTCTCAAGAGTGCCATCAGAATTATATTTCAGGGCATAAACTCATCTGCACCCTACTGCTTTCTTTCCGTTGGGTCTATCAATAACCTCTCATGTTTTATTTTTCTCCAACGCATTCATCTCCTCTTGCATGGCTTGAGCCCAATTCCCATCTTTCAAAGCTTCATGGACTGATTTTGGGATTGAAGTATAATCTAGTGCTGAAACAAAGCTTTTGTGCTGCACAGAAAGATTAGCAGAGGAAACAAAACGGGAGATAGGGTATTGAGTACAAGAGGGACAAGAAGAACAAGTTTTCTTGGAACAAGATCTTTTTCCTTTTCTTAAAGCAATGGGAAAATCATCAGAAGCAGTAGTAATGGGTAAGTCATCAGAAGTATTAACATCATGATCAGAAATATGAGATTCAGGACTTACCAGTGGGTCAGACGATTGAGGTTGCTGTTGAGGCAATGTGGGTTGTTTCCTTATTTGATATACCAATTCAGGTGTTACAATCTTCCGTATCTTTGGTGTACTTGATGTATCAGTCATAGGAGGATCAGTCACAGGAGGATCAGACATAGACACATTAGGAACAGGAACAAGAGGAAGAGACACTGACACATGTGAAGGAGTAGACACTGAAGATTCAAAGAAGGAAGGTGATGAGTCTTCTGGTGAATTATTAGTAGACACTGAAGATTCAAAGAAGGAAGGTGATGAGTCTTCTGGTGAATTATTCTCCCCCTGAAGATGAGGACCTTGGAAAAAGGACTCAGATTCCTGAAATGTAACATCCATAGAAACAAAAAATTTCTGACTTCCAGGGTGATAGCACTTGTAGCCCTTCTTATCAGGAGCATATCCAAGGAAGACACATTTAAGAGCCCTAGGATCCAACTTACTGCGATGCTGTTTATGAATATGAACAAAGACAACACACCCAAACACTCGAGGAGGAAGACTTTGCAAAGTTGGAACAGAAGGAAAAAAAGAAGTCATGGAGTGAATAGGACTTACATGATCGAGAACCCGAGTGGGTAGACGATTGATCAAGAACGCTGCAGTAAGAATGGCTTCTTCCCAATAGTATTTGGGTACATGTGTTTGAAACAGTAAGGCACGAGCAACTTCAAGAAGGTGACGATTTTTCCTTTCAGCAACCCCATTTTGTTGAGGGGTGTCTACACAAGTAAGTTCATGAATCATACTTTGATTTTGTATAAATTGGGGAAAAGAGTGATTGACATATTCAGTACCATTATCTGTCCTTAGTCTTTTGATTTTTTTACAAAATTGAGTCTCAATCATTTTATAAAATTGAAAGAACAGTTGTGGTACCTCAGACTTTTCACGCATTAAGTAAACCCAAGTTACACGAGTGCAATCATCAATAAAAGAAATAAACCATTTATTTCCAGAAGAATGAGGGACCTTAGAAGGACCCCAAACATCAGAATGAATAAGATCAAAAGGTTCAACAATCTTAGTAGTACTAGAAGGAAAAGACACACGATGATGCTTAGCAAATTCACAAACATCACAATGAAAAGACTCAACAGACTTAGACAAAAACAATGACGGAAATAAAGATTTGAGTAAACTAAATGGAGGATGACCCAAACGCTTATGATGCAGCCAAATTAAAGAATCAGCAGTTGATTGACCATGAGATATGAAGGTGTGATCTGTTACTCTTTAGCACTACCAAACGTCTTCCCCGTGGCGAGATCCTGAAAAACACAATGGGTAGGGAAGAAGGTTACAGTACAATTCAAATCTTTTGTAATTTTGTGAATAGAAAGAAGATTCGTGGAGAGTTTAGGAACATGAAGAACATCCTTAAGATGTAAGGACTGCTGTAAGTTTATGTCACCAGAACCCGCAACTTATGTATGTGAGCCATCAGCTATGGATATTGTATGAGTTCCAATGGTAGGATGATAAGAAATAAAGGAGTTAGCACAACAAGCCATATGATCAGTAGCACCAGAATCAACAACCCAAGAATGTTTAAAATCATTACATGAAGAAATGAAAGAATGAGTTTTGGAGCTCATACCAGTCATAGCCAAAGCACTAGTATCAGATGGCTTACTCAGATAATCAAGAATGGTTCGGAGTCGTTCCAACTCATCTGGACGAAATGCAGATTGGGTCTCATTAGGTGCAGGGGTTATTTCAGAAGAAGTAAAATGCGCTTGACCACGCATCCTTGCCATCTTTTCTAAGACAGTTTGCTTTCCATAAAGGCGAAAGCATAAATCCTTGATATGACCTGTTCTTTTACAATAAGAACACCATCAATCATCTCTCTTAGGTCTAGAAGAGGTACCATCATAAAATTTTGAAAAATAACTCCTTTGAGAAAAGGT